ATTGAACAAAGCAGTCGGTGAAAAGCACTCCGGGACCACGACACACCATGAACTATGACCACTACAGCAAATTCTTTTGGGTCTTAAATTTGATTCTTGATCAGACTAAAACTCTAGGACCGCCCACGGTAGGACTGTGATAGCAGGCGTTTTCGCAGATCACCTAATGTGATTCCTCTCAATGTCAGCACAGTGTTGTGTCACCTGCCCCGGTTGGTTCGACTGTGAGCCATCTTGAACATTTCGTATCCGCTGTTCCGACTCGCTAAGAACAGTTAGCATCGAAGACCAATTAATTGTTGGCACAATGTCAATATAGCATAAATTATTCTATTCCGAATTTTCAGAATGATGCAGCGTTTCATAACTTATTCACCTGTGGAGATTTTCTGCCAACGCTAAAGCAGCATCAAAATTGCCGGCTCGAAACGTATACGATCGATCGGTTGGATGGACCAATTGCAACAAAGGTTATGATGACTGCCTAGCCTCAAGTCTTTAGCATACCCAATGCACTTGAACTGTACACAACCGGGGTGCCAACACCACACGTTTGAGTAACAGGTGACAACAGCATCATGAACCTGTGATCAGAAAGTATCGTGTCAGGTTGCGCAAATCACAGAAACCTATCCACCCAAATCGCAGAGGGTTAGAGGTGAATTTAGTTCTGTGAACTCAGGGACGAGAGGGATAAGACGATGAAGCAATCGCAGTGGGTTCATATCTGTGCTGTAAAAACACCATGTCCAAAGTTGAATGATCAACTGAACTACTCATGAGTAGTGAAATAGTTTCTTCAAAATATACTGTATCTCATGTGCCTTCAAAGTTCCAACAATGTTTTCGTTTACTTTCTGATCACAAATTACTGTACGATGAGCGCCAGTAGTAAACCCCATAGTCACGAGGACTGGCTGTCTCCTTAGAGTTTCTAACAAACCAAGCATTTTGACTATAACCACATTCGGCCACAAAATGGTGTTCGGTGACTGAACGTCAAAGTTCGGGGAGAGTGACCAGACTCAAACTTCGGATATACAGGACCCGAAGAACAACAGGGACGATGGGGCTTAAAAAACCCGTCGGATCACACACGCCTCCGAGTAAGACCACATGCACACTCGCAACGCTCCAGGCAGATTGAGTTCGGATTGGGTGACTGCAGAACGAGTCAGCCAGGGTTTATCTGATCGATCAATCGATAGGTCAAGGACGCAATCTGATTGGTGCGTCACTGCGCAGCTCTCGTATGCGTGATTTGTCCCATATACTTACGTATCGAACTCCAATAAAAATTATACGCTGACTGTTGTCTCCAGCCGTGTTCTTATTCCACGTTGTTGTTGGAAATTAAGCAAAAGCCGCTCGTGTCACTCTTACGTCTAGACCGAACACAACAACAACCACCATTTACAAGTTCGCATTTTAGTTAAGATTCAGATGTTGAGATGTAGCGAAGCCGTATCTTAACGACAATGTCCAAAATTAGCGGATAGTAGATCGCCTGCCAACCAAGTGGTGAGTCTAAGCTCATCAAATAAGCGGATCCGTACGATCATTAGCAGTGTTCGGGAATGCGATGGGATTTCATTTGGCTTGCGCGATAGAATACCGCACATGCCCATAGACCGTGATATGAAGTAGCGGTCGCGGCCCGCCACAAAATAAGGCCACCGATTTTGTTGTGTTTCATTCAAGTGACATAATTTTCCGAAAGAGTCAAAACCACCACATAACAAGCTACCCTACTGGTTTGCATATTGCACTGTAAAAGCCTAAAGGCGCCATCTGGAACAAAAGTCCATCTCCTATTTCCGAACTGTTCGATCGAGAGATAAAACGGAGCCGAATGGGGCTTTGGACACCGCACCGAATGCTATTCCCACGAAACTCTATGAATAGTATCCATGGAGCCGAATCGTCCTCCAGCAGAAGACAGATCAGAAAAAGTTAAAGTAGATGAGACGTAGCCGACAAAAAATTGATCCAAGTGTCAGACTGAAGTGAAGTGAATAAATTTACCGCTACCGTGTGCTAGATCCCAGGGGGCAATAAACTGAGAGTTGTGGGCAGAGAAACGCGGATACAAAAAAAGTTAATTTATTAAGTAAAACTGACAGCACCAAACAAATATACACACGTTTGAGTAGTCCGGTGTTTATGATACATAGCGCTCCATTGCTACCCGACATCATTTTCAGACAGATTCGAACGAGCTTGAGCTGCCGCATTCGCCCGTAAGATATCGCCAGGGCTTGGATACGGTCTTTGCTGATATAGCGATCCGGAGGCGGTCTCGTCGACACCTGTTTTTGCAGCGGGCATGGTAGATTTGACCTCTAAGCCTGCACTCCATGTGCCCCTTGGGGCTT